AGTAGTTCTGCAGGAGAAATATAAGACTCAGTAATTACTGCTTAAGACTCAGTAGTTACTGCATACCTACTAAGATACTTATTGAGTAATTAACTAATAGTTTTAGTAGTAGGAATAAGAAGTGTTAATGAAGAAGTACTCCTTCGTTCCTGCTTAGTTCCTGCGTAGTTCCTCTATGAGTTGTTGAACAGCATCGTAAGGTGTTACCCATAAATGTTAAATCTCCTTAAAGAAAACTTCACCATATCAACAATTAAATTTTTTTAATCCGTTTATGTGGAACATCTGGATCACGTTTTAAAATGACTGCAAATATAATCATTTCTTGTCTGCTAAAAAAGTTCACCTCTATTAAAAATAACAGAAGAGAACAATAATTTTCAGCGATGCTGCCTAGCTGAATTTGGTCCTTCAAAGCAAAATACCTGGCTCGTCCAGGCTGTAATAAACATCAAATCTGTTGTGATTAGGATTTTGACATTGCTTCCCCACACATCTGTGATACAGTAATATGAAAAGACATGAACGGGGGGGCCAAGGTCAATGCGTGATGATCTGCTGATGCTTTCCCTGACCCAAATCTCGGTTTCATCTGTGTTTCAAATCTGCTTGATGCAGTCATACTTAATTACACACTTATCATCATCAGCTAAATGAGCAACACTTCTTCCATGTAAAGACATCATGGGGGAGTTGGAAAGAAAAGCAAGTGAGAATGAGATAAAAAAAAGAAAGAAAGGGAAGATATTTTTGCAAATACACCCCAGGCTACAACACTAATCCCATCAAATGTGGGGAACGGGATAGCTTCCAATCCCATGTCAAACATAACCAATTACCCGGCTGATAAGGATTACGCAGCTCACTGTGACGGTAACTGTGACTCTGCACTGATACTGCTGAGGACACTCGGGGATATATGACTCAGCAACAGATATCTTTTGGGTTCAAATTAGTAACTCTGCTCCTCAGACTCCTTTTTATTAACTGTGTGACAATATTTAAACTAAAATGCATTATATATGGAAAAAAAAGCATGTAATGGCAAAATACACACATACTGTATGTGGCGGCCATTTTAAAACATTGTCCACTGTCATTTTCATAATGTTGTTTTCTGTCTAACTGTGAATGTGTGTGAGGAAATCTCTAATTACACTGTGTAGTAAACTCTCATTACAGCAGATGTTACAGCACAAACATCACAGGAATGATATTTGTGCAACGTCTGACTTTCTGGAATTGTTCTAATTACATTCTTTGTTAGCTGTTAGCCTGAAATCATAGGGAAAGAAACTTTTACGTCTTGAACTGTGAGTCTGAATGCTTTGGTATGTTGTGTTGTTCTAACAGATGGTATTTCAGAGGCTTCAACATGCAAACTGTGTTTTCTGTCAGAATTTTTAACTGTCACACATGGTTCTAGGCCACTGAGCTTGTTCTCTTCTGTCAGGTCACGGACTGGTACACTCTCTCTCCCAGCAGAAACAAATGAAACAACAAGCAGACCATTCCTGGGCTTTCTACAAACCATTCTCTGCTATCACAAGTAGAGTTGTTGAAGCAGATCATAAAAACAGGGCCGTGTGTGTGTGTGTGTGTGTGTGTAAGGTCATCTGCTCTGTCATTGAGAGTTGATGTCCTCACCATGGATGTGTGTATCCAGGACAGAAAAGAAGCAGTAACACTCAAGGCCTTCATCTACTCAGAGCCCCAGTCGTTCATCACAGAAGCATGGCAGGAACATACGCCTTTCTACAGAACACAAGGAGAGGAAGAGGACAGACTGAGCAGAGGAGGAAAGATGTACAGAAACCTGTCAAACCTGGGACTTCAGATGAAGGAACGTAACTGTGATTAATCTCAGCCAACTGATATCCTGTCTACTGTGTGTGTGTGTGTGTGTGTGTGTGTGTGTGTGCATGTATGGCTCCATCCAAATCAATGTGAGCGTTTCTCTCAATATTTATAATTTCTATTGTAATTGTAATCTAATTGGACTATTATAATTTCTGTTTCCACTTTATGCTTAATTGTGCTCGTATTTATTAGTGGACTTCCTTCCTTCTTTACCTTTTCTTCTTTTCTTTCCTTTACTTCCCATCCTTACTTCCTTCCTTCTTCCATTTTTCTTTCCTTTACTTCCCATCCTTCCTTCCTTCCTTCTTCCATTTTTTTCCTTCCATATGCTCTTATTTCTTAGTGGACGTTCTTCCCTCTTTCCTTACTTCCTCCCTACCTCCCTTCCTCCCTCTTCCTTCCTTCCTTCCTTCCTTCCAGGTGCTCTTATTTCCCAGTGGACTTCCTTCCTTCTTTCTTTCTTTCTTTCTTTCTTTCTTTCTTCCTTCCTTCCATGTGCTCTTATTTCTCAGTGGACTTCCTTCCTTCGTTCCTTCCGTGTGCTCTTATTTCTCAGTGGACTTCCTTCCTTCGTTCCTTCCGTGTGCTCTTATTTCTCAGTGGGTGTCCATGCTTCCTTCCTGTTGTTTTTGCAGTGGATATGCAGACAGGCAATTTAGGATAGGCAATCTACCTGCTGCTGATGTTTTTTTTTTGTTTTTTGTTTTTTTGGGAGGAAGGTGGGAGGAAACTACAGAGCACATACACAGTAAGGCATCTGTGAGGAGTCAATGCTACTGTTTCTTTTTAATCATTCCTTTTGGCCAATCTGTTTTTTCATCTCCTGGTTAAATCATTCTGAACTCTCCTCTTTATATCCTCTGTCCTTTTTCTCAATTGCTTTGTTTGCCTAGCTGCTGTTGCTTCATTGCTTTTTCTTGCCTGCTTTTCTTCTAACGTTCCTACTTAAAAGCCTAAAGCCTTTCCTGCCTACCCATAAGCCCTTTGCTTGTCAGTCTGACACCATACATAAATACTGTTATAAAGAACAAACACACACATTGGGCTGGTGAGCAACAACCACTGTGTTGTTGGTCGATTAATTTTCTATAACAGCAGCTCTGATGATAGTTCCAGCTGCAGGACAATCACTGCATTATATGAATCCACTCATTCTAATATTCTATTGTTTTTAAAGTAACAACATAGAAACACAAGGGATTTAAACAAGACTGTGTGTTAATCATTGATATGGTGAAGCTTTCTGTGAAGAGATGTTTATTTAACATTTTTGTAAGGAGTCTCCAGTGTCAGAACTTTGCAGCAGTCAGAGGTAAAACTGACAACATTTTT